ATGAAGGGCATTGCAGGTTCGCCTAGTCGCAGGTGGGTCACTGTGACATATCGATATGGCACCTGAACATACGAAGAGCGCACTTAAAAAATCGTCATTTAATATTTGGGGTAATATCAAACATATCCTTTAACTTTAAACATTAAACTGTGTTCGCACGCAATGCCCCTGGAATTTGCTTCCATGCGGTATTTATTTCTTCCATGGCCCATGGCTGTCTGTTCACTGCACTACCGAACAGACCAATTCCCCACTGGTCGATGAATTTTTTACAAATTAAGAGAATAAAAGGTTTCAAAATTAGAATTAGAAACGTTAATCTTTCGCCACCAGGAATAATAAACTCTCAAAACATTTAGTTTATTTCCGGAAATTTCACTCATAAAATTTCAATTACGATTAATGAAAAGATATTTCTCTAAACACTGGTAAAAACATTTTCATTAAATTGTAGAAATCACGAAGTATTAGTGAAAATTTAATTTTAATCATTTCATACGACATATTTTCTTGGTGGGTTTTTCAATATACCTTTGAGGTTCAGCCAAAGAAAAACCCATGCCCTCATCCGGCCTTATTTATATGCAGTCCAAGATGAAACGTTCCGAAGCGTTTGGATACTTCCTCGTCGTAACCATGTAACATGAAGAAAACGTCAACTTGCAGGATAGCTTTTTAACGAATTTCCTGAGGGAGGATTACACATTTTAAGTGTTCATATTGCCGTGTATGATAAGCGTGAAATAGCTATTTTGTTTGCAGAGATGGCATCAAAAAAATGTATTCATTGTTGTGCCTTACTATGCGTTGCTTTGTTTTCGTCCCAGTGAGATCGTATTTACGAATCGTGTTTTTCTTATTCCAGTTTCTATTTATTGTTTATCCAGATGAAGTTTCAAAAATGTAAGTTTTCGGTTGAACAAAGCTATGTTAAATTCGAAAAACTCTCACGCAGGTAACTAAGATGCTATTTGCATTTCTTTAATTAAAATTTGAGGCTTAGAAATTGCATGTTTGTGAGGACGCTTCCATTGTGTGAGGGCGATTCAGAAGTATCTGAATGAACGGTTATATCTGCTCTTCGGGAACATTCTCTTGTATTCAGAGGGGAGGGCGAGATCAGATTCGAAGGAAAGTGACCGAAGGAGAGTGCATGTAACAACGCATTGAAGTGACGTCTGCTCGCCAGGATTCCCCAGCCGATAGCGCGCTCTCCGTGTCGCGTCCGGGAGCCGTGCTGCGGTTGCGGCAGCGGGCTTTTTGTTGTCCCGAACACCGCGTCGCGCCGTCCGCGGCGAGGGCGCCCTCATCGGCGGAGCTCCCCGGAAGCGAGGGAGCGATAAGGGCGAGGGCGCTATCGCCCGCGGGCGCCACGCTTTAGTTTCACCTGCGCCCGCGACATGCCGCGACCCCTCCTGTCGCCACGCGCGCGCGTTTGTGTTCGCAGGGGCTTCAGCGTGAGCGTCTGCGGCCGCCAGCATATCTTCAAGCCCGTGTCGGTGCAAGCCATGTGGTAAGTAGCCCTTCCTCTTTGTCGTCCCTCTTCAACCGTCTTGATTCCAGGGCACGTGTGTGAATTGGAACTACATGTGCGACATTATGTTGTTACAATGTAACAGAATGTTTGTTGATTGCTGCGAAGTATAAGAAAATGTTTATTAAATTCGTCTAACCGTTCAGATGGTTTACGGGCGCCGTAATTGATCAAACTTACAATAGCGCTAAAAAAGTATCACCATTCTCACAGTTGTAATCTGCAATGTAATCCTAAAAACACACCTTTTGATTTACACATATCGAGCGTGTTATGGAGGTAATGGAATTAGAAAATCATATAATCCACATAAAATAGTATAGAACTAATCTCTACTAATATTTGTTTAAAATTTTTGAGAGCAGATTGTATCAGATTGTATTAGGGCAATTTTCTTTAAGTGATGCGTTTTTTAGCACTACTGTAGAAAGTAAAAAAAGTGAATGAAAAAAGAACAAAGAATTGCAAACTGAGTACAAAGAATCGCTTGCCAATCATATTTTAGGTGGCCTGAGGACGAATGCATATAAGGCGTGTAAAACATCGCAAACAAATTGTAATGTCGACTGAATAAATAACAGCGCCCTCATTTCTTCGCCTTTAATTTCTGAGGATACAACTAAAATTAAAGTAAACAAATAAACGAGAAAATCGGAACGTTTTAATTATACTTGATGCACTGCTACACTGCATGCTTAATCTTTAAAATACTTCGTCTAATATTTATGAACACATTTTCCTGTATCATCTAATGACGGTTGTGCTTTCGACGTGAGAAATGAGGTACAAATGCGCCTCTAATGCCGCGCAGTATGTTCTCTTGGCCTGTGCGCTCGGGATTTTGGCCGAGGCAGGAGGCTTGGCTCCCCGAACGCGAACCTTGGCCAGCCGACGCGCGTCAGCGGCCCGAGGGAAGGAACTCTCATCGGTTCAATGGGAGGTGCAGACAGCGAGTCGCACCCCATTTCCCAACGCTGCCGCGGAGGCGTCCGCCGCGCCCGTCGCATTTGGCGGTGGAGCCGCGCGCCCGACACCTCCCCGATGCGGCGCGCACTCCGACCACCGAGCGGCGTTTATTTTGCCTGCCTCTCCAGCGTGCTAATATTAACCCTGCGCGCGCCGAGTTCTGCTCTTCCCTGCGCCGTCTGGGCCGCCTCCCGGCTTCCGCCGTGATCGATGTGTCCTGCGAGGGCACCGAGCCGCTTTCACGCGAACGTCTTATTTGTGGGGACCTGAGGGGGAGGGGGAGAGGAGGAGGAAGACCAGTGCCGCTTTGTTTTGCGTGCGTCGCCACGGCGGAGATTTATAGCGGCGGCCCCGTTCCTCGGGAGGAGGACGCGCGTTCGCATTTGCGCTCGCGCGCGCGCGTCTATTCCTCCGTCCGGCCTTTGTCTCCGCGCGGCCACCGCACCCGCTCGGGCCCCTGCCTGCGCGCCCGCCGGCCCCCGCCGGCCCCGCTCGACTAGAAATTTCGCGCAGACTGCGGAGTTCCGCCAACAAAAGCGCGTTGGAAACGCTTCCCGTTCGCTGGCTACGCCTTAAACGGGTGGCAGACGAACATTGACTGTGCGAACTGTTTTACTCTTAATTTGAATGTGGGTCGAAATGAATTACTGAATATATAATTCGACCGAGATATATTTTTGTTCAAAATAATGTATAGATCATGTGAGGAATTGCACATTTTTAAGTGGAAATTAGACTTCTCCATCGAGATAGGGCAAGATTCTGAATTATACTTGAATTGGGGTTCTAATACGTTTGTAGGTTAACATTTTGTATTAATTTATATTGTTATTATTATTGTTATTATTATTGTTATTATTATTATTGATATTAATGTTGCAGTTGTTCGACACGCGGGAATATACTTTTAAAAGATAAAATATTTTCGTTGTAGACCCCAACGGAATGAGGTACTTCTAATAATCATAACCGTGTCGTTTTGTTGATTGTCACAGATTTAGAAAGTTATCTAACGTCTAAATAGTTACTGGCGTATTGAAACTCTTCTAACTAAAACTATGCTCGCCTGCGTCTCTGAGTGGTACTTTTCCGAAGGTCGTTTCGGTTGGCGTGCCTCCGGCGCGTTAATTCTCTATGCCTCAATGCCCTCGCCAAGCGCGTGGATGCCCTGCAATGCAATGCAATGCATTGCACTGCAGTGGAGTGCGAAAACCTGTGTTGGTCGCGCGGCGGCCAGTCGTAACGCGTCGCGTCGCTACGCCGATTCCCCGCTGCGCCTCGCCGGCTTCCCCTCTGACCTTTGGCTTTACGCGCGGGGGCGGACGTAGTGGGCGAGGGCGCGACGCAGCGCTGTGCGGGGAGCACCCGTTGTCGCGCTGATGTCGTAGATGGCATCTCGGCGTACTTACAGAACACAGTTTTGGGGATTCTTTTATTTTTCATCTTCGTAATTCGTTAGTAGTCGAAGAATACGTATTTGATTTTAGTTAAAGGGAATTTCCGTTGGTATCATAATATTCTGTTAATCAAAATTCTGAACATTAGCTTTCGTATTTTTCTGATCACGCAAACTAACAGCAAATATTTTTTCAAAATGAATTTCCAGTGTTCATATTGGTATTCAAAATATGATATCAATACTCAGCACAAATATCAAAGTTATTGGGAAAGGGTATTCAAGGATAATACATTTTTCATTCGTTCACAATCTCTTAATTTTAATAAAATATCCTCCTTTTCAATGAAGTAAAGGGAAAATTAATTTTGAATCATAACTTCAAGAAATGTATACATTATCTTTTGTAATAATAATTAGAAGAATTGAAATTAAGAGAAATCTATGCAACTAAGCTGAAATTACAATCAGTTCGTTTTGTATTTGGAGTGTCGTAATGAGTATTCCTATGTCTTGAATTTCTTTACGAATACTCTCGTAAATCACGCTTTGTAATGAGAACCAGATTTTCATGATTTCAATGCCGTAATGTTAGGTTCGCGCATTGTGGCTGAGGAGCCTAGGGACAGAACCTCCTTTCCTACTGGCGTTGAATGCGCATATTCACGGCTTGTGTGGCCTTGTAGAAATAACGATTGAAGGATGTGCGGGGTAAATAACGGAACAATAACCCTGCAACGACTTCCATGAAGTCGGTGACGCAATTTTTGACATGTTAGATTGCGAAAACGGCCATCTAACTTCATAACAACCGCAGTTTCAAGTTACATCGCACACTGCGAGGCAAGTGATTTCCTGAAGTCGTTACTCAGAAACTCATTGTTCCTTCTTCATGACGTATTGAGTATATATTTTTTAATTGACATACGCATATTATACCCACTTTTATTCATTTAGAATGATATGAATATATTTCGTTTCTCTTGTAATATACTCGTAATTTATTGCATTCATGTTAACGCGATATAAAACTATCTAAATGGTGTGAAAACTCCGTGAATACACCTATTACTAACGCGATCTTCGGTATTTACTAACATAAGTTCATTTGATGTTTTACCTTTGCCTTAATTGTGGTCGATTTATCCGAAGGTGTACAAACTTTTGCATCTTTAAAACTCGTTTGAAGACAAAAATAGTCGAAAAAGTTGATGTTGAAAACCGTAAGATCCTTGCAAGAAACTGCACAAATCGTCTATGCGGACGAGTAATGTAGTTTAGTGTGGTTGTAATGTAGCTTTGTGTGTTTTAACCTTACGGAGTCCTCAGTACATCTGGGAGTTACTGTACACTGTGTTACTTGTATACTAGCAGGTTCAGGACAGTGCGAACTATATTATAGCAATTCACAGAACTCCTCACAAGATATGGTGTATATGTTTATTCTCATATTTCACTATTCTTCATGGCATTGTAAATGTCAAGAAATTCTGCAGAAACGCTGAGTCAGCATTCTACTACGCACATGCGGTCTGGTCTTTGTGGAGAAGAGACTGTTCCTCTTTAAATGTGTGTTGCACCCCCATCATCATTCCGCCGAATTAGATTTGTTCGTTCGTCGTCGTACTTCCAACGTAAATTGTAGAGAAAGCAGCTACGGCTCGGATCCGGTTTTGAATATCCGAACCTCGCGGCGCGTTGTCGTAAGTCATACCATTTTCCTAATATTGATTGTGGGTATCGTTTGCACGCGGTTGGTCGTGGCTCGCGCTGTGCTTGCCCGCAGCGTCCGGCTGCATGGCGGGTCGGGTGCCTGTTTTGGCGCTTCGAGGCCGGCCGCCCCGCCCCGCCGGACGCTCGGCGATCGGGCGCCGCTCGTATCAGCAGCAATGGGAAAGAACAGGTTCTGAATAGTTGGTTTATTGGAGCTGCGGAATGCTCGACTAAATTAACTCGTCCAGCGCGCCGAGCGAGCGGGAAGGTCGCGACGCAGCGCGGCGAACGATACGGCTAGGACAGTCTCTGCGAAGGTCAAAGCAGCAAAGTACTGAGTCATACTGATAGCCACCACTTACAGTCCTCCAGGAGGCTTTAATCGTCTAAGTAACCTTTGTACGTGTTCGCGTTATTACGAGGAAAAGGGCCTAAGAACGAGAAACAAAACTTGGATCGATGTGACATATAAGCATACAAGCGAAACACGCGTATTTTGAACACATTGTACGATTCTGAAAACTTTCTATAGGGAATACGTGTAATGTGCACATACTTTGGCGTTTTACTGAAGCTACTCTTCGAAGAGTGCCACCAGCTGTGCCTCTAAAACGAGTGTGTCCTGCAGCCAATAGCCAATGAGTACTAAAGTTATATGTGCACACAGGGCGGTCGTTAGGATACAGACCAAAGACGGGCGGGCAGTAGCCGAAGCGGCAAGCACTTGTGCTTCGCCAGCAGTCGGAAATGAGGTTTGCGGGCCTCCATCGCGGACGCTGCAGATGAGAAAAAAAGGATACGCGTGGTATAGGGTGGGGGCGATCTCATGTGCGGGAGATTGATTGTGAGCCGAGGCCCGCTGAACTCGTTTGGAGAGTGCGGAAGGACGATGCGACTCGGTGAT